TTTATTAAGAAACTGCTTAAACTGTGAAATAAAAAATGCTACTCATCACTCGCAAAAAATATAGTACCCTAGAACAAACAAGGTATACAAACCTTATTTAGAGTTCTATTTAAGTTACCTTACTTGTATTCCTTAAATGTCTGAGATATATGACAAAAATAAGCAAGTAAATGTGAGGCACAATAGCTTTTCATGCAACACTTTTTAGAACCTTTAATATTCTAGGAATGTCAAATGAAACCTTTCCCCAACTTACTTGACCAAGAAATCTTTCTGTCCCTGAAACACCTATCTATAAATTGAACATGGTTATCACTGTTCTAAGGACTGCAGTTTTAGAAACAGGATCTTGAATGTTTACCATACAGATACAGATTAACAATAATTTAAAAAAAAAGATACATCTCAACTAAGATACACTTTTAATGTTTAAAAAAATCAAGAAATCACAAGATGAGTTCATCAATGTGGTTCATACTATTTAATATTTCATTAAATAGAAAGAGTATAGTCATTTATAGAATAAATTTGATTTTAATTTATCATATTTGCAATACAGAGACATAAAGGTTTACTGAATAAGGAATAAGAGAAAGGGGATATGATGTTTTGACTTCTTAGCTGTAAAAGTCTTCTTTTATGGTATGGTATAAAATATATTTTCTTCAAAGGCTTTCTCTATGATTTTAGACTTTGTTGGTTTCTATTCCTGCTTTGTGTATCTGAATTAACACTAACCTTTTTCTTTTTCTTTTTTCTTTGGAGAAATGTAAAAAATTATAGAAAAGTAGGGAGCATCCATCTTCCCACCACCTAGGCTGGAACACACAGCTGCTAAGTTTTGTTCTATTTATTTCAGTCTCTTTTTCTTATAAATAGTACAACAGCAAATATCAACAGTTCTGCCATTCATTCAACAAGTACTTATCGAGCATGGACTCTGTGTTGCATTGTGCTAAGCACTGCACACTGAATGGTGGGTAAACCAGCCACATGACCTACTACTATGTATGCACCTTACAGCCTGGTAGGAGAACACAATCAAATAATCACGGAAATAGTTACAAACTGAGATGTTGTGAAAGTAAAGTATCAAGCAGCCTTTCTCAGCTGGGATTCCATAACAGGATTAAACCCTGCTGACAATGATGTGAGTGACTATTTTCTCATTCTCTTAAGACTGGCACATAGCTAGTAGCATCCTAGAAGTATGTAATGAGAAGTTAATTCATTACATGCAATGGGTGTCTTAGGGCTTTAGGAGTTGACTTTCAGAACCAGTAGAGAAGATACTTTGAGAAAGACCTGACCTAGTTTTTGGTGGTGGTGGTAGGTGAGGGGTTGGTCCAGAGAGCCAGTTACCTAAAAGTGTGTTGAAACGTGAAGGAGTTATCTAGGCCAGGGCTGGGGGAGCAAGGGTAGTAGTGTGAAATGTTGCCTTTCTAGGGAATAGCATACTGAAAGGTCCTAAGGGACAAAGGAGCAGGCGACTTCGAAAAATTATAAGACCAATACGGCTGATGTACAGAGAATGGGGGCAGGGAAGAATAACAAAACATGAAGTTGGAAAGACAAGCAGATGGTCATGGACCAGAAAGGATGACTTAAACTGCATTACAAAAGATCACTGTGGCTCCAATGGGCTATAGAAATAAGAGTGGATGAGGAAGATGAGTGATGGGCAAGGAGTAATTAAAGTGAGAGAAACTGCTAGACTAGGTGGCGATGGCAGGAATGGAGAAAAGTAACAGATTCGAGTAGTGTTTAAAGTATAAAGGCAGGGATGTGTCCAGATGACTTGTGGGTTTTAGGTAGAGGATGATGCTGAATATTGGGGAAAAGGTCAGAGAGTAAGCACTGAAGTCTTTCCTAGGTTTGAGGTTTGTCTGAAGGAGATGTCAAGGAGGCAACTGCAGATGTGAATCTGGAGATTAGAAAGGGGTCTGGCTTATAGTTCCTTTATTAGAGGAAAGTGAGGGGGGATGGGCAGAGATCTTAAGCAGTCACTGAGCTTAGCACACATTACGAAGCAAGATGTAAAAGCAAATTGGAAAAGAAGAAGTAAAGCTGTCACTGTTTGCAGATGACATGATACTATACATAGAGAATCCTAAAGATGCTACCAGAAAACTACTAGAGCTAATCAATGAATTTGGTAAAGTTGCAGGACACAAAATTAATGCACAGAAGTCTCTTGCATTTCTATACACTAATGATGAAAAATCTGAAAGAAATTATGGAAACACTCTCATTTACCATTGCAACAAGAAGAATAAAATACCTAAGAATAAACCTACCTAGGGAGACAAAAGACCTGTATGCAGAAAATTATAAGACACTGATGAAAGAAATTAAAGATGATACAAACAGATAGAGAGATATACCATGTTCTTGGACTGGAAGAATCAGTATTGTGAAAATGACTATACTACCCAAAGCAATCTACAGACTCAATGCAATCCCTATCAAATTACCAATGGCATTTTTTACAGAACTAGAACAAAAAGTCTTAAAATTTGTATGGAGACACAAAAGACCCCGAATAGCCAAAGCAGTGTGGGAGGGAAAAAAACGGAGCTGGAGGAATCAGACTTCCTGACTTCATACTATATTACAAAGCTACAGTAATCAAGACAATATAGCACAAAAACAGAAATATAGATCAGTGGAACAGGATAGAAAGCCCAGAGATAAACCCACGCACCTATGATCAACTCATCTATGACAAAGGAGGCAAGGATATACAATGGAGAAAAGACAGTCTCTTCAAAAAGTGGTGCTGGGGGCTTCCCTGGTGGCGCAGTGGTTGAGAGTCAGCCTGCCGATGCAGGGGATGTGGGTTTGTGCCCCGATCCAGGAAGATCCCACATGCCGTGGAGCAGCTAGGCCCGTGAGCCATGGCCACTGAGCCTGCATGTCTGGAGCCTGTGCTCTGCAATGGGACAGGCCACAACAGTGAGAGGCCCGCAAAAAAAAACACAAAAAAGTGGTGCTGGGAAAACTGGACAGCTACATGTAAGAGAATGAAATTAGAACACTCCCTAACACCATACACAAAAATAAACTCAAAATGGATTAGAGACTTAAATATAAGACTGGACACTATAAAACTCTTAGAGGAAAACATAGGAAGAACACTCTTGGACATAAATCACAGCAAGATCTTTCTTGATCCACCTCCTAGAGTAATGGAAATAAAAACAAAAATAAACAAATGGGACCTAATGAAACTTAAAAGCTTTTGCACAGCCAAGGAAACTATAAATAAGATGAAAAGACAACCTACAGAATGGGAGAAAATATTTGCAAACGAATCAACAGACAAAGGATTAATCTTCAAAATATATAAACAGCTCATGCAGCTCAATATTAAAAAAACAAACAACCCAATCAAAAAATGGGCAGAAGACCTAAGTAGACATTTCTCCAAAGAAAACATACAGATGGCCAAGAGGCACAGGAAAAGCTGCTCAACATCACTAATTATTAGAGAAATGCAAAACAAAACTGCAATGAGGTATCACCTCACACCAGTTAGAATGGGCATCATCAGAAAATCTACAAAAAACAAATGCTGGAGAGGGTGGGGAGAAAAGGGAACCCTCCTGCACTGTTGGTGCGAATGTAAACTGATACAGACACTATGGAGAAGAGTATGGAGGTTCCTTAAAAAACTACAAATAGAACTACCATGTGACCCAGCAAACCCACCACTGGGCATATACCCAGAGAAAACCATAATTCAAAAAGACACATGCACCCCAATGTTCACTGCAGCACTATTCACAATAGCCAGGACATGGAAGCAACCTAAATGACCATCGACAGATGAATGGATAAAGAAGATGTGGTACATATATACAATGGAATATTACTCAGCCATAAAAAGGAACGAAATTGGGTCATTTGTAGAGATGTGGATGGATCCAGAGACTGTCATACAGAGTGAAATAAGTCAGAAAGAGAAAAACAAATATCGTATATAAATGCATATAGGTGGAACCTAGAAAAATGGTACTGAGGAACCAGTTTGCAGGGCAGAAATAGACTCAGATGTAGAGAACAGATGTAGGGACACCAAGGGGGGAAAGTGGCGGGGGGTGGGTGGTGGTGGTGGGATGAATTGGGAGATTGGGATTGACATGTATACACTAATAGGTATAAAATGGGTAACTAGTAAAAAACTGCTGTATAAAAAAATAAAATAAAATTCAAAAAAAAAAAAGCAGCAAGATGTATATGCATAGTACATGTGTAATATAAGGGGATATACATAAAAGAAAGACTAAGAAAAAAGGGTGAAGAATGTGAGGGCAGTTTTCTTATTTGTTTTCCATTCTTATGTGAAAAATTGCTAAAGATAGTTACAGACACATGTGTCCATAGAATATGCTACTGCTTCATTATAAATGCTCTGTAATTTATTTCAAAATGGTTCTAATTTATCTGATAATGTAAGTTCCAAACTTAAACACCCAGATGATATTAACTCATATAGCAATTTTCTTGTAAATATATTCAGATACAAAAACCCCATATAGGTCCTTTCTTTCCCTTTTTAATGATTTCTGGTATTTTCACTTTACCCTCTGTATACATTAACCTGACTTCACAATTTTCATATTTTTGCATTACTTTGGAGACATAAATATTATCATCAAAATTATATAGTGTTATTTAACTAAAAATCTACCAGTATGTGAGCCACTCTGTTTAAATTATTACTAAAATTCTAAAATCAAGTTTATAGCTGGGTGGTTTGAATATATGGCACACTGAATTTTCAACTTTGCTGACTTTTTGGAGACGTTACTATAAATCAAACACCAAATAAAGTCCTTGCTGAAAAAAGGCAAGAAAATTACAGTTAGTGCTTTATTAGAGATAAACACGCCTACCTTATATTTCTGTGCTTGAATATATATGGTCCTAGATTTATTCTTTAATTTAAACCAATTATTGGAATGCATTTATAACCTGTTATTCAATTTGTTACATACCAGTTAGCAATGTCCTTGTGAGCTACTAAATTTTGAAGAAACGCTTGTAATCCTAATTGTCTATCTTCTAAAAAGTCGGCATTGTAATTATCTTTAAACCAGCGTTTTGGTGGAAGTGCTAATCGAAAGCCTGGAAACATCTCTTTTAACTGAAAAAGAAGAAAAAAGAAGATACAATGTTCAACTCAATTATATGAATTCTACAAAATCTATCCTGTTGACTATGTGAAGCTTACAATAAAAGAATTAAATTCAGCTATGCTTTTTATGCCTTGGTTGTTTTATTTCTTGATTTCTACCAGTTGTGTATGCATAGGAGTTACAGTTGCTCCCTGTCCCTGCTAACAAGTGGCACTGCCTATCTTTTTAATGTCAGCCATTCCAGTGGGTGTGTAGTAGTATTTTATTGTGGCTTTAATTTACATTCGTCTCTTGACAAATGGTGTTAAGTATCTTCTCATGTGCTTGGATCTGCATATCTTCTTTGGCGAATTATCTATTTAAATCTTCTGAACCCTCTGCTTTAAAAAAACTGGGTTACTTGTCTTTTAAGTTGTCAGAGTTCTTTATATATTCTAGATAGAAGGCCTCTGTCAGATATATGTATGACAAATATATTCTCCCAGACTGTGGCTTGATTTTTCACGTTAACCGTCTTAACAGAGCACATTAAAAATTTTTAATGTTACCTAATTCATCCACTTTTCTTTTATGGTTTATGCTTTTATAGATACTATCTAAGAAATCGTTGCTCACTCCAAGGTTACAAAAATTTTCTTCCACGTTTTTTCCTAAGATGTTTATAGTCTTAGCTTTTACATTTTGGCTTATGATCAATTTTGCATATTTGGCTTAAATTTTACTTCCTTAGGAAAGACTTTTCCACCTTTTAAGCTAGGTTAGATTTCCCTTTATACACTCTGATCAAGTGACTATAACTGGATAACAAGTTACCTCAAAACTCAGTGGTGTAAAATAACCATTTATTAGACCATGGACTCTGTGGGCTGGTAATTTGTACAGGGAATGGTGAGGATGGGTTGTTTTGTCACAATGAATTAGAACCTCAGCTGGAAACCTGAAGCTGGGAGCTGGAAGCCACTGAAGTTCGTTCCCACATATTTATACTGGATCATGCTGCTTGTTGGCTGAGACCTTAGCTGGGGCTGTCAGTCACAAGCCTAACATGGCCTCTCCATGTATCTTGGCCTTTCTCACAGCATAAAGTCTGGGTTTCAAAGCCAGGATGAAGCTGTATGCTTCTTATGATCTAGCCTCATCATCCCACAGCATCAGTTCCACTGTCCTCTATTGGTTAGATCAGTCACAAGCTCACCCATGTTCAAGGGGGAGAGGAAACAGATTCTACTTGACAGTCAGTGGCAAGATTCTGGAAGAGCATATGGGACTGAGAATATTGCTGCATACATACATTTTTAGAAAAGACAATCTGCCACACATTCTCAAATCATTAATTTGTTTTTTAAATGACATTTATCATGATGTAAATTAAGTAACGTTTATTTAATTTTGGACTCTTCTACCAGACCAGTCTTCTAAACCTTGGTTGCACATTGGAATCACCCAAGGAACTTTGAGTAAGAACTCATAATACAGACACTTTGTGAGGGCTCTATTGTAGAACAGCTCCCTCTCTTCTGAGGATAATTAATGAGGATCTTGAATTAATGACTGTGTCCTATCTCTGATATATTTGCATTTAGTTAGTTGGGATATGGCTTGGGCGTTGTAATTTTAAAAAGTTTTCCAGGGAAGTCCAAAGTACAGCTAAGATTTAGAATCATTTTACATTGCAATGACTGTCTTATTCATAGTTGCACCCCCAATATCTAGCATAATGCCTGCTACATTACAAGCAGCCAACAATCTATGTTCAATAAATGAATGAAATGAAATCATGTACTGTTCAAATTTCTATACTTAAATATAAGACAAAATATCACAATGTAAGAAAAAAGAATAGCAAAAGAGAAAATTCACAGGGTAAAATGCTAAATAAAAATATAAAACATAAATTCTGTCTATATTTCTATCCTGAAAACCCTGATTTGATTTCAAGATGTAAACAGATAATTTTGGCCTTGGAGTCTGGTCGTTTACTGTGTATGCAATGTAAGTAATAAAAGCCATAAGGAGAAAATGAAAATAGTCTTTTTATTAATTTCAAGCTTTAAAATTTAAATGTCACGTATGTTCACAAGCATGGTTAGATTTTTTTTCCCTAAAAAAATAATCCTCAGAAAAGAGTGAGTTGCTCCACAATTGAGCCCTCACAAAGTGTTTATATTATGAGTGCTTACTCAATAACTTTATTTTGAACAAAGGACAATTTGGGAACTATACATTAGCTTGAAATAACTTTAGTAAGGCTAGTTTTTTTTTTTTTTTTTTTTC